TTGTTTAACAGCAGCGAACCCCAAGTGATCCAAGCTGCACTTCTGCAGCTTCCATGAAAGACAAGAGGGGGCAGCAACAGACTGACTGGAAGTCAAGGCCTTCAAAGACCTGCCTTAACAGGTAGCTCCCGATATACCAAGTTGGGCCCAGGACCAGGGCTTTCCTCAGAAAGTCACACAGGCTGCTCTGATCATGGCCATGATATTTGATTCCTGTGGTTGCCATGACAAATTACCACAAACTGAGGGCTTAAAACAACAGACACATACTCTCTCACAGTTCTCAGGGCTAGAAATCCAAATTCAACATGTTGGCAGGGCTATTCTTCCTCTGAAAGTTCTAGGGAGGAATCCTCCGACCCTTTCCTCACTTCTGGTGGTTGCTGGGAATCCCTGGTCTTCCTTAGCTTACGGCTGCATCACTCCAGTTCCTGCTTTGTCATCACCTGGCCTTCATCAGCTCCCAGTTCCCTGAAGGCACCTCCCTTGGTGAGTGTGTGTCTGAATTTCCCTCTTCTCACAAGGAACCAGGCATTGGTTTACAGCCCGCTCTAACCCGACATAACTTCATTTTAATTTGATTACATCTGCAAAGACTCCGTTTCCAAATAAGGTCACATTTGGGGCTGTCCCCCCATGTTAAACCTGGCATAAGGCAGAATGTGGTCAAAATGACATCAGGTCTCATGGGAGGAGAAAGAACATTTCCCACGCTGCTTTAGGTCACACGGCCCTGCACGCTCTGCACGCTGCATTGCATTCATTCACACGGACCCAGGTAACAGGGACTAGAACTGGAACATCTTTTGGGAGTGGTGACAGAATTCAACCCAGTCTAGTGATCAATGCCCCAAATCTGCTATTCAAAGTGTGGTCTGTGGACTTGGCGCCTGTAGCACAGTGGTTATGGTGCCGCCACATACACCCAGGCTGGCGGGTTCGAACCCAGCCCAGGCTAGCTAAACAACAATGACAATTGCAACAAAAAATAGCTGGGCATTGAGGCAGATGCCTGTAGTGGCAGGTTAAGACAAGAGAATCACTTAAGCCCAAAAGTTTGAGGTTGCTGTGAGCTGTGACGCCACGGCAGTCTACCATGGGTGCCATAGTGAGACTCTGTCTCAAAAAATAAATAAATAAACAAAACAAAGTGTGGTCTATGGAGCATCAGCCTCTTCTGGAAGTTTGTCAGAAACACAGAACCCAGGATCCCCAAGCCAGACCTACAAAATCAGCCTTGTACCAAGGCCCCCAGGCCACCCATATGGTCATCTGAGTCTGAGAAGCCCTGGGTCACTACAACCCAGAGGGAGGTAAAGGGAGGCCAAGAATTCATGGAAGTGGTTGGGGAAACCTGAGAGAGGATTTCCCAAGCACTTGTCAGTTTGCTGCCATCCCTTTCTGGATCCCTTCTTCCTATACAGAGCAATAAGACACACCAAGATTTCACCTTCCAGGGCAGGTACAGTGGCCAATAATCCTAGCACACTGAGAGGCCAAGTCAGGGAGAATCTCTTGAGCTTAGAAGTTCTAGACAATCCTGAGCAAGAAAGAGACCTCATCTCTACTAAAAACAGAAAAATTAGCTGGGCATCATGGCAGGCACCTGTACTCCCAGCTACTGGGGAAGCCGAGGTAAAAAGATCTTCTGAACCCAGGAGTTTGAAGTTGCTGTGAACTAGCCTGACTTCACAGCACTCCAGCCTGGGTGACAGAGTGAGATCCTGACTCAAAATATATTTCACTCTTATGAAGGAGAGGAATGTTCACTCACTCACACCCCCCTCGAGGGAGGTACCTGCAGGGAACAAGTGAACTTGTTCTGTGTCTGCTAGAATTTGGGTGATACAGGGACTTGTACCTAACTCATACATCAACATGCAACCTGAGGGTGGATGGCCTGCCCAGCAGCAGGGCAGAGTGTCATCCCACAATAGTGACAGACAAAAGATGTAGCCCTTCCTAAAGTATCCGGAGAATGGAATCATCTTGAAAGGTCCCTCTGAGGGAGTTTCTGGATGCTGTGCTCGGCTCACGAGGTGAATGGAAAGCCTGGCAAGCAGGCTGAGTCATGAGCTGCCAGGCCAGGGAACACCTCAAAAGTGCACTTGGAGGCCAGGCACTGTGGCTCATGCCTGAGGCGGGTGGATTGCCTGAGCTCACGAATTTGAGACCAGCCTGAGCCAATGGGAGATCCTGTCTCTAAAAATGGTGTGGCATCATGGAGGGCACATGTAGTCCCAGGTACTCGGGAGGCTGAGGCAAGAGAATAGCCCAAGAGTCTGAGGTTGCTGTGAGCTATGACACCATAGCCCTCTACCGAGGGTGACATAGTGAGACACTGGCTCGAAAAATTGCACTTGGAAAGGAACCAGCAACCCAGGATAGCCATCCCTGAAGCTCCCCAGCCATGTGGCACCTGCCAGTCAAGGAACTCCTTCCTGCCTGTCCCCTTTCTTTTTCCCTGTTGCAATCTTGGAGGGGCCATAAACAGAAAGTGGAGTAAATGGGCTGGGTAGAAGGTGGAGCCTTGAGGAGGCAGAAGGTGGCCTGTGTTCTTCCTTGTGGATTTCTTGGTCTGATCTGGGGGAGAGGAAACATTCAATATTAGATTTGGGCGGATTGTTTTGTTTTTGTTTTGAGACAGAGTCTCCCTTTGTCACCCTGGGTAGAATGTCATGGCGTCATCATAGCTCACAGCAACTTCAACCATTTGGCCTCAAACGATCCTTTTGTCTCAGCCGCCCCCAAGTAGCTGGGGCTACAGGCGCCTCCACTACATCTAGCCAGTTTTTAGTTGCAACTCTTTCCAGCCTTCAGCCCTCAGCTCCAAGGTCACCTCTTCAGGGACTTTTCTGGGCCACCCACTGTGCCTTTCCCTAAAGAGGCTTTTAAGTCTCTCTTAGCCAGGATTCCACCCTCAAAAGTCCTTTAACCACTCGTCCCTCCAGGCTGTAAGTTCCCTAGAGGAGCCGCACACGGACAGATAGGAGAAGCTCAAAAGACAAGTGAAAAGGCTCGGCGCCTGGGGCTCAAGTGGCTAAGGCGCCAGCCACATACACCTAAGGTGGCTGGGTTGGAATCCAGCCCGGGCCCCCCAAAAATAGCCGGGCGTTGGGGGCAGGCGCTTGTGGTCCCAACTACTTGGGAAGCGGAGGCAGGAGACTCGCTTGAGCCCAGGAGTTGGAGATTGCTGTGAGCTGTGATGCCACAGTACTCTACCCAGGGGGGGCAGC